GGACCGGGCTCCCGTGGGAAGGGGGGAGTCGGCTCTCTGGGGGCCTTCACCTCTTAAACAAGATGAAGGAAACACCCAGGTGCTGCTCTGTAGGCTGGGGCGGGGCCACACGCAAGGGAGGATGACAGCACCTCCTCAGCGCTCGCTCCCCTCAGTAGGGTCAAGGCGGTGCGGGGTTCCCCTGGGGAGCGAGCTCGGTACGCTCAAAGGGGACAAAAGGTCCCTCCTCGTTCCCGGTGTCTCGGACCGTCGCTGCCTCCTGCCCGCTTCGGTGTTGAATCGTTCCCACCGCCCCGACGGGGGCTTGCTTTTTTCTTGGGCAAAGCTCAGTTCGAAGTAGTGCTCCTTTAAGCGTACACACCCCTTCATCCTCCCCCCGGCAGGGAAAAAAGCCTTTTGCTGGGTGCAGTTAGGTTTTTTGGAAGGAGGGGTAGGGTATAAACTCGTGTTAGCAGTCTCCTTTTGCGAGGATTTTTTTTTCCTGTTGAGGTGATGAAGCTGAATCATGCCATACACTGGTATTTGCTGTATATGTTTACTCATTAATAGTGAGATGAGGACACAGGTTAGTGAGTTAATTTATCACAGGGAATCTGCCGTTTTAAAATCCGTCTTTTTATTGTAGATGCTGAAAATCGGTAAGAAAAAACACACCTGTGTTATTTTAAAAAACCTTTTCCTTCTTTAAAGCCATCTGTGCCTCTTCAGTATTTTACAATGGCTTAGGATAATAGGGAAACTGACTTTATTATCCAGAGAGAAATGCTGGATGGTGCTCAGAGAATAGCAAAGTCAATGACCCCTCATTTTCCGCTGAATAATTATTGTATTAGTTGTGGAAGAAAAGAGTTAGGTTTTAAACTTCACGTTTTGGAAGTCCAGTGTGCAGCTTTAATTTCTCAGTGCTATAAAATGAACAGTACAAGCTACTATTGTCAGCTGTATCTTTGTAGCTGCAATGTCTTGGAGTTCAAGGTGATGAACCTGCTAAATTGCAAAGTTAGCTACTTTCAGTTAATAAATATCTTAAAATACTTTTCCCCTAAGGATCTGGCTTCTTATCCCAACAATATTCAGTCTGAGAGGATCTGAAAGGAGGTGCACAGTGGATCATGCTTTTATTTGAATTGCTGATGATACTCATCAGATGGTGGCAAATTGCTCTTGTGTGTAACAAGGAGCACGTCTGAACTGACAGCGTGTAGTATGAATCCCTATATGCCATTTCTGGTAATATCCTGAACTGCTCAGCCCCCTTACCAGGTTAGCAGTTTCTGCTTGGGTTTTTTTTGGTGCCATATGTTGTTTTAGGCTTTGCCTGGCTGTAAGTGTTGACTTGTTAATACTATTTTTTATTGCAGTTATAAACCTGAAGTAAACTGTAGGAAAAAGTGGCAATGTCTTCTGATGTGTCAGAATATACTATTGGGGGAGTGAAGATCATGTTTCCTTGCAAGGCTTACCCTTCACAACTTGCTATGATGAATGCTGTAAGTGGAAGTTATATTAACATTTGGTAAACTAATAGCTTATGTTTTCTGTTATCTACCAGCATTTAGAAAGCAAACACATGAAATTCAGAGCCTCCAGCATCCTGAGAATTTAATTTAACGTAACTTACTGGTCTCTGTGCTGTACAATGATATCTGGCCTGTGACTAGGGAAAGCTGAAGTACTTTTTGGATCTGTGAATATTTATGCTAAGAAATAAGTTGTGTGTTATGTATGACTGCTTAACTAAATATACTGTAATAGGTATTTTATATAAGCTTGCAAATTCCCTCCATATAAGGTGGGAATTATTTAGTAAAACGTCTATCTTGAGCAGATCATAATATTTCACTAAGATTTCACTTTTTGGTGTTTTTAAAAATGAATTATTACACCTTACATTTAAACATTTTAAAATAGTTTTAACCATTTTTAAACTGTGGGACAATGGGTTTGGTTTTTCTCTGTGGGACAACTGGTTTGGTTGTCTGCCAGATGTTTTCAATGGTCTGGTTCTGTAAGGCTAAAGAAAGGGAGCCAGTCCCATCACGTATTTCAATTAGCAGGTAAAAAAAAAGTATTCCAGTGTCCCCTCTAAGTGAACCTCCAAGCATGGCTAATGAGGCGTGTTCCTCTCGAGAGAAATACATCTAAGGCTTCCTGACCTGTTCTTATTATCAAGGGTGATGAGGGGTGGTGGTGTGTTTCTGATTTTCATTTCTTGTTTCGGTTTTTTTTTGTTTTTTAACAAGACAGTAGGTGTCCTGACCTATTTTTAGAAGTAATTTCTAGTTTGGCTAAGACTTCCACTTTGTTTGGTTTTCTATTAATTGTGGTTTTGTTCTTGTTACTCTTCTTGAAGATTGTTAAGGGTTTAAGTAACAGGCAACACTGTTTGTTGGAGAGCCCTACAGGAAGTGGTAAAAGCTTGGCATTACTTTGTTCTGCATTATCATGGCAGCAGTCTCAGTATGGTAAGTCATCTTAGTATCTCTTTGCCTAATTTTTAATGCCAAAATATATTATAATAAATTGTTGGTTTTCAGCCTTTAAACATTCCTGGTTTCAGGAATCTAAGCAGCTCTTTGTCCACCATTATACATATTGCCTTATTGGCAATATAAAACAGAAACGGCCAGTGTGGATTTCGATATGGTATCATAAGGGAATTATATGGCTGTTGGAACTTTGAAAGAATATAATTGTGTATTGTAATTATGCAGATTGAATTGTAAGAGAGGTTTTCATTTCTGCAAGTTGTTAACAGTTCTTTGCACTGCAGTTTGTCGAAGGGTGATGACTGCTTGTTCAGACTTTGTAGACACAAAAGTTTAAAACTGATACCTAAGGAAAAGCTGCCATCTTAACTGTTTTGAAAGTCTTTTTCTCATGTATAGTCTTGAGTAGTGTTCAATGGAAGACAAATGACTATGTCCTTTAGAGAAACCATTGCTTACATCTTCATGTGAAAAGGAAGACAGAAAGCCAGAGACCTCACTGCTGTGTCGCTGCACGTGTCACTCCCAGTGTAAGAGCGATGAGGCGGCAACGAGCATGAATCATGGTGCTTCTTGTTCTACTACTAATTGTGAAACAGGAAGTTCTGTAAAACCTGGAAGCCCACTAACAAACACAGGTAACTTCATACCCACGTGGCTAAAAATCTGTTCTGGAAGTCAAATATGTAGCCAATGATGTCAAGTTTTCTTGCTTTCAAGTCAGAGACTTTTTTTTGCTGTCATAATAGCATAGTAGTACATGATTCTGCCTTGTGTGGAAATCTGTGTGGAATGGTGGTTAATGCACCTAGGAATGTCTAATGCTATCTCCTATATCATATGTATTTGTAGTAAATTCTATTTTTAGAATGTTGCCTGTATTTAATGCATTCCTAGTATTGGATATACCTTTTATTTCATTTTTCATTACAGAATGTAAGGAAAATGAAACACTAGCTTCAAAATTGTCTGCCAAAAAAAGGTTATCACTACGTGACAATGAGAGTGATGATTTTCAAGTAGACAGGAAAAGGATTCGTCCTTTAGAAACTGAGCAGCAGGTGAGCAAAGTTTATTTGCAATAAAATAATCCAGGCGTAGCTCAACAAAGCTGTCAAATGCCAATCAACATTTCAGAGAAGGACTTAGAGAATCGTTGAGTCACAGTCATAGTTTCATTTGTATTGTCATTTGTTACAGAGGAGTCCACTGTTTCTCAAAATTGTTCTTAATACCATGTCCTAAATTATCGTTTGCATATTTAAACACTTAATATCCCCAAAACTTATTTATCCCCAGTTGATCTGCACTATTAAGTCAAAGTTTGAGATTCTGGAATTGAAACTGCTCTTGCAAATATATATCAGAAACTCAAATAATGCTGTGAATGTATTCAAGTTTTGGTTTATTTTATCCTGTCAAATGTAGCTATCTCTGGCCTCCTATATGGAGTACAACATCTGTCATGTTTTCATCTGTCAATCACATGACTTAGTACTTGTATTCAGATGTGTTAACAGCTTTTATCTGCTCTGAAGTATTGCTCAGATGGTTGCTTTTGTTTAGGTTTTCAAATCAGTATGGCTTGATTTTATTTCTTCAGTTATGGAAGTTCTGCTTATATCAATATAGTATTATAATTTCTATCAGTTTTGTTACAGTGGGGAATTAAAGAAGAAAAGCTCAGCAGTACTTACAGATTTTGTTGTTGTTATTGTTACTGAGTTTTTTAATAAAGACTTTATAGCTTTTCCCAAACTGTTGTGTGGCTTAGATTTGGTTAAACTGTCAAAAAAATACTAGTGATGCACTGCGTTACAGAAACAGACTCGGTGGAAAACAGTTGAAACAAAATCACTGACTGCCAGTGTAAGCACATACTTCTGCCTAGTGTGTTTGAACACAGTACTTTTTTTTCCCCCAACAGGTTAGAAAACGTCATTGTATTACAAAAGGAGTACAACTTGTTGATGCTTTAGAAGTTTATAATCAGAGAAAAAATGGAGAGCTGATTGTTCACTCAGAAAGAAGTGTAAAACCCACCACTTTTTCTCCCAAACCAGTAAGTAATACAGTAATACTGTTTATATCAGGACTGTTAGTTCAAGAGCAGTTTAAAAAAATCTACTGTAAAGAGATTATGCATGAAATATAGCTTGTTAGTATAGTTTCAGAAAACACTGTACCTCTGACTGCATTGTATATTGCTTTAGAGTGATAGTGAGCTTTGCCACTATTGCTAGTGAGAACTGCAGTGGCTTTTGCTCCTAATGGTGCTGTCTAACCAGTGTGGTTTGCACAGTGTACATTATTTCTGTGAAAGCTGTTCTTCTAAACAGTGGATTGAACTCTTTTACATCATGGCTCTGCAGCAGCACAGAATCTGGCCCAGCAATTCTGCCTGTGAACTTTCAATATGTGACAGCAATTGTAAAGCAGCTGTAAATCTGTTAGTTATATTCCAATTTTTAGTAGATTTATGATATCATGGAAGAACTTGAAACTAGGACCATAGAAATTGAGTGACATCTGGAGTGTAGATTTCATTCAACTCGCCATTCGTTATTTTGTGGCATATGTAGTAAATAAAAGACAGCATTTAGTATTAACGTATGTGCCTTTAAGCTGGAGAAAGTTGGAGCTGGTCATTACAATATATTATAACAAAAAATGAGTAATAAATACTGCACATGATTAAGAAGAAAAACCTGTGTGTTAACTGTGATAGTGTTATGTTTTGGGTTTGTTTTTTTCATTTGGGGGTTTTTGGTTGGTTTTTCTTAATTGCCACTTTCCATAGCAGGTGGTAGTTTCTACAGCTTTCTGCTAAGCATTTTCTGCATTTCTTGGTGTCTGAATCTTACTGAATCTTATTAATACATAAAAGTTCATTGAAGCAAAACCAGTCTAAGAAATCTGAGGCAGCAGAGAGATGTCAGGTGCCAAATTACATTAGTAATATAGTTCCTTTGAGTGCTTATCAAAGGCTGTAGCAGTATAGTTCTTGTCTATATTAAAATACAGGAGCATACCATAAGATCATGAAATTGTATGTTTGATACAAATAGAAGACAGGAATGAGGTCTGGTCATTGTTTCATCAGTACAGAAATTTACTTTCTTCTTTCAAAAGGCAAAGAATATTCCTTCCAATATGTCTTTCTTATTTTTATGTTGCTTTATGGTAATACCCATCTGTAGGTAACTGTGCTTCTAAGTACAAGGGGGTTTATGCATGTTTGGAAATTTCTCTTTCCATATCTTACAACAGCACTTGGCTCTTTGTATGTCCTAAATTAGGTTCTTGTTTTAATGAGTGTGTGTTTTAACTTCAGGAGCTCTTTTCTGGTATACTATACATTTATGAAAACAAAGGAAGCCGAAAGCTTTGGTATTACTTTAAGACACTAGGAGTTAAATTTTTCTTTGACAAAAGTGAATCTGTGTTCTAGGTCATTTGATGGGAACTAAATTTTGCCAGTTTTGGAAAGCTCTGTAGATTTTTGAGTAGGATTTGAAATGCTTTCTGCCACTGAACTTCAATTGCTGGTTTGAAGTACAAAGGCCAGCAGAGTGTGCTGTTGATTTTCAAATAAAAAGACCTTTCTTCCTTTATTGTAAAATTTGCTGTGGTACTTTGGTGTGGGTATCTGAAAAACTTTATCTACAACTTCTAGAAATTTCATGTAATGAAGTAAACTGAAAACTTTTAGTATAGATCAACTACCTTATAAAATACTGAACCATAGTCTGATTTTCTAAGAAAATTCTTAATTTTTCTAACAGTACCTGAGCTGTACCTGTTTGTATTATAGTGTGCTCTCCATGGGTCTGAGTTTGCAGATAGACAGTACAGTATACTATTCAAAGTTCAAATCATATTCTGTTCAATACTTCTTTAGAGAGAAGTAACCTAAGAAGACAAAAGAAAAAGAAATTAGTTTTAAGAATGAAATAATAAGGTATTATTTACCTACAGTGAACTTCAGCAAACTGAGAGCTGAAACAATTGTCAAGAAACAATTGCAGAAAGTAAGGCCCTATTTATCATTAGTAGTTCTGTGGCTTAACTACACTGAGACATAAAGAGCATCACAGCATAGGCTGTTAGGTTACTTTTCTAGTGTAGCTTATGAAACAAAGTCAGCTGAGGTGATGTTCAACACTTACCATAATGGACTACATATTTAGGATGATACAATAATGCAATAAAAATATTTTCTTAATCAATGAAATAATCCTGATTTGTATAACTTGTGTTTTACTGTAGTCAATCCTGTACTTAAAGCAAATTTAGCTTCTTGTCAAGCCCTTTTTATAGCCCGAGAGAGAGAACAGGTTGGTTGTAAGAGCATGAGAGGCATTGCCAGTGCTGCTGCATCAGATGAACACCTGTAGATCCCAGTGAGTGGGAGGATCTTCTGCCTGAGGTGACTGACTGTTCTTAGCTGCTTTCAGTCCACAGCCTGGGAATTCTTTTCTGTCCTTCTGCTGTGAACCCTTGCAAGAGAGGGCAGTTCTAGCGTGAGTTTAGATGAGAAAATATACCCTTATGGTACTCTCTTGATTACTTCTGTCAAAGCGTATGGTCTGAGAAACTGGGGCAGCTGGGTTAAGGAATCCCCATTTATACCAGGTAAAAAAAGTAAACAGTAAATGGAGAGTAGTGTAACAAACACTTGGGGTATCAAAAAACAGCTGTGAAAAGAATCTGTCTTAATGTGCTAGCCCATTGCAGTTTAACATATTGCTTACAACCTTCACAATGGAGTTTGAGTGACTTCTGTTACACATTCCAGGAGACTGGCAGCCTGTTACAATCAGGGTCTGGACTTCAGAATAGGCTAATTTACCACGATGGGATGAAGAAAGTTGTGGATTTGTATTACATGCTCTCACCTGACACCGTATCTGATCCTTTTTCTGCTGATTGACATTTTGAATGAGCTCTTTGAAGCAAGTTCCAGCTTAATTAAAACGTTTGCTTGGTTAGCAGTGATCTGTGAAAGCCTGTGATAAATATTGAACTGGGTTCACCTGCTGGTTACTGTGAGAGGATAAACAGCTGCTTTGTGTACTTCAGTCAAGAGGCTGCAGCACCAGCAGAATACTGTGCTTTTTGAGAGCTTATAAAGGAATAGCTGAAAAGCTCTGGTAATGTCACTGCTGATATCTTACTAGATTGTGCTTGTGTGATATTTCACACAAGAGGTATTTGCTGCTGTATCATTCAGATGGCTTTGTAACCGGGAAATGTAGATGAAGATATGAAGAACTCCTCTTACCTCTTTGTGTTTCAAAGATCATAGCCTCAGTGTTTGTTTAGCTCTATTTTACACGTAGGACAGGTTGGTGGACTTGATTATTCCTTTTTAAATCAGATTTCCACGTTCTTGCCGTATAAATATTGATGTGATAGGCTGTTTTATCTAGCCCCTGACAGAAGTAAAACCAAGTTAGACTAGCTAAGGTCCATACAGTCTAGCGTCTGATCTCTTAACAGCATCTGTTACTGGATGTTTCTGATTAAACTGAGGAAAGTAGAGAAGTATCTTCCCACCCCCAACTCCCTCTCCCAAATGAAGATCTATATCCCAGATACAAACAGCTGAAAATAGGTTTAGTTCTGAAGCCAGAGCATGTTACAAAGTAGTTTTCTGTTGCCTTAATACTTTTATATTTTATATATTTATACTCAGCTCCCCACTCCCAATTCTTTCATAAATAAATGGAAACTTTTTCTAATTTTATTCTGATCTAACCAGCATCTCTTTGTTGTGAATTTGTACTTGATGCAACACTGCTATGGAAACTGCCATATTGGAGTTACAACTTTGTTCAGCTGGAGAGTGTTTTCTTTCCTTTTGCTGTAGTAATGGGAGAATAACACCACTTTAGATTTTGGTGTGTGATATCAACAGTAAATTCTTTTTGTAGAAATACAGAGTTAAATAGTTTGGTTTCAATAAAATTTAAAAATGGCTAAACCGTTTTCTAAAGCATAAAAAAGTGCAAATTGACACACTTGAATAATGTGCAAATAGTGAGAACTCAACTTTTAAACTGTTTTAATCGGTTTCTTAAAGAATTTCTTCGTTATAAAGCACCTTCTAGAAAGGTTTTATTGATTTATTTACATATTTTTGGCTAATGGTGTTTTGTGGCTTTCAGGTGTTTGTTTATACTCTTACTAGTTACTATAAACGAGTCTGAGTTTACAACTTTTGCAATGTTGATTTTATTTTATTTTTTTTTTTAATAAAATTTGCTTTTCAGAGTGAAAGGTTACATCTGAAAACTGGAACATGGGCTACAGGGCTGCTTAAAGCCAGTATTACACCAGTTTCAAACCTTTAAAGAAAAACTTTAAAGGCCACCTGTAAAACACTGACATTTAGAAGCCTTACACATAATAATGCTTAATTCTTGTAATAAAAATGAAATACATCTGTTTGTTTTGGGGTTTTGTTTTTGTTTGGTTTTTTTTTTTTTTTTTGAAACCCATCATAGAAGAGCTTTCAGTTCATGTTTATGTATATATTTATTTGAACTGCATTTTCCTTTTGTTAGAACAACTTTTGCAAAATAGCTGCCTGATTGGTCCTAAGAGTTTTCTATTACTTTTATTTGGCAAACTAAATGTCAGGCTTAGCAATAGCAGTGGTGTGTTAGAGTTATGGTATCATGTTGGAATTCTGTGTATTTCTTTTAACTCTGAAAACACAGTCTGACTTGAATTAAAATCAAAAGAAGAGCATGTCCTTAAAGGTCCTACACAATAACTGCTTCAGTTATATTAATTGTTAGCATGCTAGCAGTGTTTTCATTATTTCGAAGAGCAAAATAGAATGTAGGTAGAAATATCAAGGTACAATTTGCATTGCAGTTTTCTGTTTGAGTACAAACACAGTTGGGTATTGCCACATATGTAACATATACCATATGTCAGCTGTTTCCTGCTTCAGTGTTGACAAGAGCCCCATTCATAACCCTTCTTTTTATCCTTTCAGTGAATAAGTAATTATTCAATATAGAAGGCAGGATATTTGGAACTGGCTATTTAATGTGGCAGCACACCGTAATGAAATCTGCTGTTACTGGCAACCTGAGAGGTGAATGTAACAATTCCAGCATGGGTGTAACTTTATCTGCTTTGAGGGCCTGTTTACTTGGCACATCAGTGAACCTTTTATCCCAGTGAGTGACAGCTCCAGAAGGGTTACATTTACATGCGTTCTATCATGTATTGTAATATTTAATGGCGGACAAGGCTGAGGGAGACTAAGGGTAATATGAACTTGCTTTTCCTCAGAGTGGAGGCTAAAAGACAGCTTGATCCCCAGAGTTGTGGTGTAACACACAGGATGATTTGGCATTTGTTTATAATGGGTAATCTTACTGATTACAATTAAAAGGGGAGGGAGGAGTATTTGAGTGGGCAGCTACATGTTGTTACTTGCACTATCACCTCAAAACCAAATAAAAACTCTTTTACATTAGAAGAATTAATTATTTTTAATGGGAGGTGTGTGGGGACATGGTTACTCATGAGTTATTTCTTTTCTGTGAGTCTTTTCACACTAATTAATACAATTTCTTGACAGTCATTCCATTACTTCACCTTATGAGACAGAGTGCTTCTCAGGAAGAAAAAAATTACTTTTAACAAATATTTTACAGGATTAGGTTCTGTTTAGAATTATTCCCTATGTGTCTTTAATTCTCATACTTCCTAGATGACCTTTGACATAATGACATGGCAAACATGTTTCTGATGGAGACTGTATGACTTTGTCTGTTTTATCTGCAAACAGATTTCATTGAACTGTCTAGATTTCTTCTGTTTGCTTTAAGGAAAAAATGTTCTCAGTATTTTAATTTGTGTATCTGGTCCCAAGGTTGTCTTTGCTGAAGGTGCTGGACACTTCTTGTTCTGTAACAGGAGTGTCCTCATGGTGAAGCTCAAATGCAAGAAGTTTATTTGCGTGTGTACATACTTTACTGGAATAATAACTCTTTCTGCAATTGGTTTATGGTAAAGTTGTATCTAGTGACTCCTAGAAGTTTTTTAAGATTCTTCAGGCATGAGGACATGGTGTCTATACTGTAACATTTTTAAACTTTCTGCAGTTTGATAGGCCAACTTGGTCATTTAACAGACTAACTTGAACTATCCTAGAAGGCATTTTCTGAATAGACCATAAGCAGATTTAGCATGTTCATCTTACAGTGGGATTTTGTTAATCTTTTTTTTTGTTGTCTTGGGTTGCAGTCTTCTGGCCCTTGCACTGAGTGTTCGTGTTCTTCTGGAAAAGAAACTGATAAAGATGCTAGTAATAGGAAGAAGAAAGAAAATGGAGATCGGCCTTTCATTCCCAAAATATTTTTTGGAACACGAACACACAAGCAAATATCCCAGATCACCAGAGAGTTGAAGAGAACAGTGTATTCCAGTGTCCCCATGACAATTCTTTCTAGCCGGGATTATACCTGTATTCATCCAGTGGTATCTCATGCTGGTAGTAACAGGAATGAAATGTGTGTAGAGTTCCTGGAAGGAAAACATGTGAGTAATTTTATTTCAGAAAATGAGCACTCCTTCAAACTTGGTAAAATGTAGTTGAACAGTTGGAATGAGTAACATTGTTTACTTCTTAATACTATGTTGCTTAAATGCCTCCTGGTAGTTTAGTTTAAATACTGTTAGAAAATGTCGATGCACAGTATCAGTACTGGGAAAAAAAATTATGCAGATAGGAGTAGTATTTATAATTGTAAGGTTAGTGTTCTTAACAAGGCTTAAATCATCTTTGCTGTTATAGATGAAGAAGAAGGAAGTGTCCTTTATTTTAGGAACATGGATTTGCCTGTTTTCTGCCTGACGTGATGTGTTTGTCATTAGTGTCTGACACAAAAAAGTAACTGTTAGGAGTGTTTCCAGAAAATGGAGTCGCGTGCACATAACAATTTAGGGGATTTAATCTTACTTGATTTTCATTATTTTTTTTTTTGTAATCATGAACTATCTGCACTTCCTTGCTTTTAGGGCAAGTCCTGTCTTTACTATCATGGTGTACATAAACTCAGTGAACATCATGCACTACAGTCTGCACACAGAGTGTATCAGGCTTGGGACATTGAAGATCTAGTGAGCCTGGGAAAGAAGCTTCGTGCCTGTGCGTATTTCGCAGCCAGAGAACTCATGGTGGGCGCAGATATTGTATTTTGTCCTTATAATTATCTCCTGGACCCGCAGATACGGGAGAGTGTAAGTATATTTGTAAGGAAGAGATTGCAATAACTGAAGTAAAAGGGAAGTTAAAACCATAATGGTCAGTGGCTACGACCAACTGAAATCTGATTTGTATCCAAAATATTATCTACAGAATAACTCCTGGGTTAAAGTGGTTTTCCTCTCTCTCATTTTTTTTCTTTATTTTTTCTTTTTTCCCTTTCCCCTTTTTGTCTGAAATAAGCATTTCTGTATCCCAAGGAATGCTTCCACTGGTCCCATACTCTATCTGATCAGTTTGGGGTTTGTTTTGGGGTTTTTTTTCAATCAATGGCAGATAAACCCTTGCAAACTTCCCAGTTGTTTGGTTTATGTAGAGTGTAGTAGGTTCAGATTATATTAACCCAGACTTTAACAGCATTCTCTTAGTTGTTGTTTCTCTTTAATGTCTTTCACTTTGTTTTACTAGATCGTAATTTTCTTTTTAGATGGAAATTAACCTAAAAGGCCAAGTAGTCATTTTAGATGAAGCCCATAATATTGAGGACTGTGCTCGAGAGTCAGTGAGCTACGGTGTTACAGAAAGTCAACTCAGAGCTGCTCAAGAAGAGCTAGATTTCATGGTCAACAACAACATCAGACAGAAAGATCATGAGCCGCTACGGGCTGTGTGCTGCTCTCTGACAAAGTAAGGCAACTCTTTCTAATTCCATCACATCAATTAGTGTTTTTTGTAAATTACAATTAGATTCTTTTTGCTGATGCAATTTACTGGTTGCTATTTTACATCAGTTAAAATGCAACTGAGGTGTGCTTCAAACTATGAAGTCACCTGCTTTTTGTTCATTTGAGGAATTCAGGGGGTTTTGATATAGTTAAAAAAAACATTCATCTTACTCAGACAAACACTGAAATCCTGTTTGAAAAGTATGTTTGCTCTTGAATGACACGCTGATCTTTATGGGGGTTGCTGTCCTAATTTAGGAAGTTCTGTATGAAAACTTTATCTGAGATAAATAATTTTTCTCTTTCACATATTTCTGTTAGTTTATATCACAAATAGTAATAGCATTATTTTGTCAAAGCATTACTTAGTTCACATTTATAAAATGCTTTCAGCGCCTTGGGCAGGAGGTGTTTGGAACAGGCTGGAATCTGTTCTTGGAACCAGACTGGAATCTGTTTGGAATGGATTCTTCATAGGTGAAAGTGAATTTATCAGTCATGCCCTTTGTTTTCCCTGTGAAACAACTTGAACAAAGATACAAGGGTCTGAAAAACTGGGGTACATGCAAATTCTCAGGAGAGACTGAAGTCTGTAGAGAATTCAGGTAGCAACTTCTTTGAATGGAGCATGCATGATCTTTCCCCTTTGAATTTCTGATTATTCTCAGGAAAAAGTGGTCCACACAGGATTACTGGTCATTCCTGGACTATGTCAGTAGAATGTGGTTTTAATGATTTGCTTTCGTACTGAAACTGGAATCAAGGATATGCTGAATCTCTTAGTACCTGTCTTGTTGGAACACAAGGATAGAGGAGTTCAGCGAAAAGAAATACGGACGATTGAGGGAGTGGTTTTGGAAGAAGGAGCTGATCAGTAAGGCAGAAAGAAGCTCAAAAACCAGAAGATGTTCTTGTCTCTGTTTCTTTCTGAACCCATAGAGGAAAAGGTAGTAAGAGCGAAAAAAAAGGTAACCCCCAGAAACTATGGAAGCGGAATTGGAGGCGAAGACCTGAGCAGAAGTTAATGATCATGAGAGGGGATGGAACAAAAGCAAATGGGCCGGGGTCAGAAGCTCAGGAAGGAGGGCAAGAAATAAGGGGTGAAGGTGAAAGTGTTATGGATGGAGTGGAAACATGAGGATGTTGAAACAACATCAGAAGAGTTTATCACCACTAAAGAGTTTGGATTTCAAGTCTGCAGCCCTTAATTTTTGACTTTTTCATGTGGGGGATCCAGGGATTGAAAGAGTTCAGAAGCGCTGATAATGAAACCTGGAGCAGCAAACTCAGCAGAATAGAAGTGAATAATGATACAAGTGGCTTTGAAGTGAACTGAACTCTGATTAAGTGCATGTCAAGATTGTCATTTTGTTGCATTAGTGGTTGGTGAAATAGACTACAGAGTACACTACAGCAAGTCTCCATTCTGAGAGTTAATGTTTGTGTGTCGCAGAAGCTGATTCTCCTACTTTAGATATCTGAAACATTAAATTTTAGTAAAAGGTAAGAACAGCATGGCTGGAGATTTGATTGCCTCAAGCTTTTTAACCTTATCAGAAAAGCTAAGGATGATTGTCATGGCAAATTTTCCAATAGCATGGAAAGCAGAAGACTGGGTGTAAACAGCCAGTAATTGGTAAAATGCAGAGTGAGGTGGCTTTGCCAAGTGCATGGGTAATTAGAAAAACCTTATTTCAGTTGTAAAGATCCTGGGCCTTCATTCCAGAAAGCACTTAAGCATGGGCTTAGTGCCACAGAGGTGCTAAAATGACTATTCTAAGGAATTCAAAGGTGTACCAATGGAGGCATACTGGCAAGCTTTTCTGATGAAATGCAGATTTACGAGGACAAATTGCATTGTTCAGTGGAGTAGGATGTATCAGCAATGGGATTTTCGGTATGCATTTTTTTGGTGATATTTTAGTATTAGGAAGGTTATTGTGTTAAGTTTGTATTTGCATTTATATTGTGACCATTTCAGAAGTATGTGTTGGTTTTTGAAGTTCGTAACAGGTAGACAGAAGTTTTATATCTCTTGACACCTTTTACCCATTGTAAATCTGTGTTGTTTCTGTCACAGTGGCAGTTTTCTAATCTTAGTTCCAGGTCTTTCTGATCCTGTGTTTGAGGAAATGGGGCAGAGTATGACACTGGTGAAGTCCTGCCTGTCTTAGTGATCATCATCGCTTAATAAGAAAAAGCAAATGATAGCCAAAGAAGTGATTATTCTGTTAGTATTTATGGGGGTTTGTTTGCATTTAGCCTGGCAAAAGGAAAGGTTTTGGTTTTTTTTTAGTTGTTCCATTGATCAGACTATTTGCAGAGACACAGGACAGGAAATCTGGCACTGAAACAGTCACTGAGCCTTGTTGCTTTTGTTGATAATGAATAACTGATTTTACAGGTAGATACTTTGAACTGTTGTAGAAATGACAGCTGTCTTTCTGATGCCTCTTGCTGGTTGATGAAACAGACAGCTTCGGCATTTCCTGACAGGGAGGAAGCCTGCCTGCTCTTTAGACAGAGAGAAGGTCTTGTAATACTTCAGGGATGATAGAGGACACATTCAGTTAGAAAAGATTTTAGCTATGCCACAAATGAGGTGATCTACATGTTTAGATCAGGTTTTCAGAAAGTCCTATCACGTTTTGCATTGTACGTACAATTGTAATTCTGCCTCATTTTCAAATTTACCAGTTACAAATACCTGCAGGTAGATCTGCACTTTTTTTTGCCCCATGGTAAACTAGCATCAGCTAGAGTAAAAATGAGCGGCTTGAAAAGTACAGCAGAAATCTTTCTTAAATGAGCCCAACATGTTATATTGTAAGAGCAGATTATATTTTAATCCCTTTTCTTTATTGTAAAGACAATATGTGATGATAAAATAGAATGTTATAGGGACAAATTTTCTTCTCACCTTCAATGAGCTGCATCAAGAGAAGTTCCCTAGAAGTTAGTTCAACAGTGACAAACAGGCATATAGAAAAGCAGATTCTCTTTACTTAGATGTAGTAAAATATTCACCATCAACATCATAGCATTCTGGTGCAATTTTTGAGGTTTGGTTTGTATGTGTAAAGCATCTCTAAATCTCTAAAATTAATGCTGAAGTTATTTCTGATTTCTTTCTTTTTACAGCTGGTTAAAGGAGAGCTCTAGTCAACTGGTAGAAAGAGGGTATGAAACTTCTTGTAAGGTTTGGAGTGGAAAAGAAATGCTCAGCATTTTGCACAAAATGGGAATAACTGATATCACTTTTCCCATTTTACAGGTAATGTTGTATGCCATATAACTGAGTACCAGGGTGCACAAATATTGATGTAGTTAAACATCTTAAAACACAAATAAGTTTAAAGGCTAAAAGGTCTTTTAATTTATTGCAATACTGAAAAGCTGTGTGAAGAGGATGCCTGATGAAAACCATGAGTATTCCACTTGAGCTACTGGGATTTGTGGAGAATCAGTCTTTTAAAGGATATAACTGATCATGTGCAATTATTTAAATTGCAGCATTGTGTCAGTGATAGTTTTGTCTATTTTATCCATCTGCATTTTTATTGGCTGTTGAAATGCGTTTACCCTATTTTCAATTTTACCCCTCCTTTCTGTATAAGCCAAACATGTTAAGGACGTTAAGTTTTCCCTTCCAATTGTCTTCAGTTGAATATATAGGTGTTTTAGGTGAACTTTTAAAGCACTGTGCTGAAACTCTTGTATCTGTATTAGCTTTGTTTTTGAGAAGATACTTAGAATGTTGTTAATGTGGAATGTGTTTGCCTCTTCTAGAAACATTTTGCTACTGTCTTGGAAAAAGAAGAAAAAGTATCGATGTTCGGTAGAGAGGAGCTTATTGAGATACCAGTTGTGAGCCCTGCCACTCAGATGGTGCTGAAGGGGTTATTCATGGTTCTTTTATATCTTTTTAAAGACAAGAGCAGGTCAGTTCAAGTCCGTAGCCTGAGCAGTGTGGTGGTGGTGAATTCAGCTGCTTTGCCAAAACACCACTTTTGTTTGTGAACCCCTCAGTTATGGTGTCTGGCTTCTGAGCTGCTTCTGGTTTAAATCTTATTTTAAAATATTAATTATTGTAAAGTTTCACTGTTTTTTTAGCAACTATAGAATTCTTTTTTATACCTAATTGTAAATGCCTTGTAGCAACACTGTTTGTGCTGTGTATGAGCTTAATGCTACAGCTTCAGTTCTTGCTTGCAGGATTTTTTCATACTACTGTATCTCTCTGTAGGTTTGCAGATGACTACAGAGTTGCTTTACAACAAACTTACACTTGGATGAATGAAAGCCAACTTGATGCTTCAGATACAAGTGCCTTCTTTACATGGCCCAAGCCCAAGCGTAAAAAGAATTTGCGACACAAAACTGTAGTCCACATGCTTAATTTTTGGTGCTTGAATCCTGCTGTGGTAAGCTGGGTGTGAAGTGGAAGGCCTTAAGTAATTTGAGTCATAACAAATGCATATAAGGTCTTAGAAAATCAGTGCAATTGCTTTAAATTCCTCCTTTTCTTTCTCCATCCTAGGCTTTTTCAGACTTAAATGATGTGAGAACAATTGTTCTGACATCTGGTACGCTCTCTCCAATGGATTCATTTTCTTCAGAGCTTGGTGTGAAGTTTTCTATTCAGTTGGAGGCAAATCACGTTATTCGGAACTCACAGGTAAACATTTGCATTGTGGTTCCCTCTCCTGAAGTGTAATGGTGGCCACTGGATGAGAAATAGTAACTGTTGATGACAAACCCTTTCCATAAGTAAAAAGGAATGTAAAGAACTGTTGCTTGAATTGATGCAATTGTATAGTACTTTTTCAAATGGAAAAAGGGGTAATTTTAAACGTGTCCTTGGAAAAGTTTTGCTGTGTTGGTAAACAGCCATCTTATCAGTTAGTGCACTTTCTCTTCTGTTTTTAAGTAGTGGAATTAATTTGTTTCCAAATATCTCATTACACTTAGTATTTCATTAGTTAACCTCATGTAATTTAATACAGTATGTGCTGCGTATTTTAGAATTACCTTTTTAAATATGAACTACACCAGGTTTGGATTGGCACCATCGGAGTGGGCCCTAACGGTCGGAAGTTGTGTGCCACGTTCCAGCATACAGAGACCTTTGAGTTCCAAGATGAGGTGGGAGCACTTCTGCTTTCAGTGTGTCAAACAGTTGCCCAAGGAATTTTGTGCTTTTTGCCATCCTATAAGGTAAGGAAATCTTAATTCATGTTCTTCCTTTGAAACCACACACACTTTGCTTGAAAATGTACTGTGTAATCTCTTGCTTTTGCATCAACATATATAAATGTTTATAAAATAAATGTAATAACATTTTGTGATTACATTATATTGTCATGTCCTGAGTTTCATATTGGCTGGCATACAAGTTTGTTTTCATGAAAACCCATGTTTAAATTTGTTTTCAGCAGGTGTCTGTATCTTAGTTAATGGGTACAATTGTTACAGTTTTACAAAACAAGCCAGCCTGATCTGCAGGGGTTTTTTAATTGTTTCCCTGAATGTTTTGAAATTATTATAAAAATCCCCCAACCTCCTCCTTGTAACACACATCAGGAAAATCAAATTGGTGTGTATAACTCAGCAGCAAGAATGCCTTAGCATGTTCTCTGTGTGCTACTTGAATGCTGTATTCATCCAGTTAATTTCTTATTTCCTTGTTTCTTCTTCCATTTCACTGCATTGGAGATTCTGGTGTCTTTTTCTTGAGTCAGGGGAATTGCCCACTGAAAGGAATCAAATTTCTCAATTTCAAACTATGTCATATCTAATTTCACTGACAATGGATATCTAAGTATGGTTAATCTGTACCTCACAGTGGTTCTGCTTTCTTCTCTCTCAGTTCTTACTGTTATTTATGGTCAGATCTGAGGTGTAGGAATATGAACCTGCAATATAATTTTGTAATTCATACCTATTTGTCTTGTAATGCTTGCAAGAGTGTGACATTTTTCATTTTGACCATAATTTATGATTTTTAAAAATCCTCTCAACAACTAAAACAAAAACCTCACAAAAAAACCCCAAACTCACAAAATTCTACCAAATGAAAAACCCCCTACCAGCGAATGGAAATAATAGATTCTGTTTTTTTTCAAAGCCTTTATAATAGCTTTGTTTAACTGATGTGGCTGCAAAGTGGTGGGTTTTTCTTTACTGGGTGTCTATAAAGAATTACAGTTATCGGTGCAATTATTGGTGCAATTACCGACAGCAACCATTAGGTGACCACATTAGACCAGGTAATGTTCAGTCACTGATAAAGCAGGTTACTGACTATAAATTTACTTAAACTGGCTCGTGACACTCTGCATTATATACAAAGTTAATGATCTGAAAAGAAATTTTGCATTCGATTTATCGAAGAATTGAAATAGGGGCATATTTAGTTTTCAGTATCGTCATTATTCTTTTTACTCCAGAGTATGATGTTAAACAGTATGTGATAGTTATCTGAGGTATCGAGACCTGACAAATATTTATGAAAGTTTTTTATGAGACTAGTAATCTGATTTGAAAGCATAGAGAGAGTTTGTAATGACATTTAATAAGGAAGGAAGAAGATTGCTGGACAGCTCTGGTACCCTCCCCCTCTCACTGCCTTTATGTTTCACTGAAAGGTCATCTAGCTAAACATGGTGAGTGGTTTTTTTTATTTTGTGGGAACACTTCCATGATCCTAGCAAAAGTATTGATAAATCTAAATTGCAGACAATTGAAGGATGATATTTTAAAATCACATTGCCAATATTTTTCTACGGATGCCCTTTTTCATTCCACTTCTACTGTTCTGGATCGGGTTGCCTTTAAAGTCTGAGATTAATGTGTTGAAAACACAGAATAATGTAAGCATAAGCATATTAGTGCAAAGAAAACAAGGTATTTTTCTTTTATCATCATACAGAATATGGCTTACCTGCACATTTGCATTTCAAACCTAATTTTCAGAGATTTTTGTGGGGAAGTTGCTGCATCTCTAAAAAAAACCCCACAGCTTTTAAAGAAATTGCTCAAGGCCATCAAGATCTGATTAATATACATGGTCACATTCATCACTAAATTAACCATTATGAGTTAAGCAGATTTCTTGAGGGTTTTATGAATTGGAATTTCAACTTTGGAATAAGTGAAAAATAAAATTATTAAATGTCTGGAAGGCTGATGGCAATGCTCTGAATGTTGAGTATTATCTATGCAGATAATTTGATGGAGCTTAAATTTAGGCATATACACTGGATGTCAGTTTGGTTACGCTTATAGATGTGTTCTCCAGTGCAATGTTCTCTTTCAGTTTTAAGAATCAGAAGCCCTGCTTGGATGGCTTTGTCTGGTTCAGTACCTCACTTTCAGCACTCATCGTGCACATTCTTTCTTACCTGTTTGCTTGAAAACCTCTTCGATAGTTATCCCAAATTCTTTTGCTTTGTAAATAAAGTTAATTTTATTTTTCTGGAAAGCCCATTATTAATGTAATTCAGGTAGTAAATTGTATGTTACTTTCAAGGGCTTATATACAAGGAGATGTTAGGGACAGAAATAGCACTTTTGTTCATTTCCATTCAATCTGAATTTTGTTCACTTTAATAAAATATAGGTGAATGTTCTTTTTCATTGTAAGAATGGTAAATCACTTTTTTGCCTCAGTCGAATGGAATAGAAAGAGTGGAGGGTCTAACCCCGCAGGAAGCAGAAGTTGAGAACCCTGTCTGAGGCAGTTTGTGATGACTGACGTTGGGACCCCAGAGCTTTCACTAGGCAGTGCTCTCCACTTGCTTCTCCTGTTAGGTAGAACTTCACTACACAATGTTGTAAATAAATTTATGGTAGAAATAGAACAAATAATATCATTTAAACTTCCCAGTCTGGAATTTAGTAGCTTTTGTGAGTAGTATTTATTTCTCTCTCTATTTTTTTTTTTTTTAAGTTCAGGTTGCTTTTTATACATAAAAGTAATGATCTTCCAATGCTTGGCGAAAGTGATAACTGACTCCTGTATTCATGTTAGAGCTGGAGAAACAAACTCTGGCAGAAATTTAGTCATTTGTTTCAGGCTACTGAAGTATATAATAGAAAAACTATCTTGTACTCCTAACTTAGAAGATGTCAAAGTACTAGAAAGTTTCCAGGTACAAATAGAGGGCAAGTAAAATTTCTAAGTGTCACCACATTAACCTAATCATAAAATGAAAAAACTGGCTCCTGCTCATAGAACTTTGGAGATGGATGTTATAAATATCAGCAGGGTCTGTTGCTGTAGCAGCTGGCATTTCAGTCGCATACTCCTTCCAGTGCTAATGCGTGCAGAAAGCATCCATTAATGGCTTGCATTTTCCTCTATTAATGTTTCTTTAGGTAGATTATTTCCTGGGAGATTCTAGATTTCTTTGAAGAAGCTGTCTACTGCCAGGAAGAGGTAGTAGTCACTTGTCTATATTTTGCTCTGGAGTGCCCCTTACAACAAGATATTTATAACCTGTAGAAGGTTTTTCAACTGTTTTGTAAAGAATTGGAAGTCAACACTGTAAACCTGCATTCTTTCTTAATGATCCATTTAAGAAGATACTTAGGCTGAGAAGGTACTTTCCAAAGATCTTTTTACCTAATGTATGAACTTCTGTTACTGGAAAAAAAAATCTGAATTAAAAAAAAATTGGTAGTTATATTCTGTGTGCCTTCTACCCCCTCTTTTGTTGTTTGTTTGGGGTTTTTTATCAAAATAGCTGTAACAGAAAGAGCTCAGTGCACTTTTATGGGCAAAGTCTGCCACCTTGTTCTGTCTGCTTAATTTGGAATTATCAGACACAATGTGAATATGAAAAAAGCAATAGCAGAGAAACTTCCGTTTATCTTGATCAGGTATTTGAACAAACATATTTTTCATTGAAAAGTGACTGTTTAAAATATACATATGGAAAATATCAGTGCATCAGATACACATCTCTGCATTTGGAGGGTGTCTGTTCTGAACAGCTGTGATGCTGTGTTTCACAAAGGGATAATCTACAGTAACATACAAATTTTTATTATCATCATTGGAGTTCTGGCATGTTGACTTTTTTTAATGTAAGCTTAATCTTAACATTGTTTAAATGGCAAACCTAGATCATTTGAGGGCTACTAAAACTGGTGATATTACGCAACAAAAATGCGTTGATGTGAAAATCAGTAGCAACTCCAGCAAAAACACTCTATAAAAGAGAATATCAGAAGGTGAAAAGATTACTCAGAAATCTAAGATGCTTTTAAACAAGATTAAGATAAGGACCATTAGGGTTCATGTTGCCAACCTGTCTGCATTAAGATATATCTTGCCTGGTGCCTGCGTCTTAGATGATTCATTCAATATGTGTCATATCAAAGTCAAGGTATCCAGCAAAGAGAAAAATGCTAATGCTTATAAATTTTAGTGGTAATCCATCATGATGAATTAACTGACCTTTAGTAGCTTTTTTACAAAATAAGCTTTGGCCACTGATGTTAACGCTGGGGTTTCGTTGTGTTTTGCTTGGGTTTTTTTCCTTTGAGGCATTGTTACTTAATTTGTATCTGCTAATTGTTGAGCCATAACTGGAAAGTAACATTTTTAAAATAACACAGTTGGCCAAAAGTGTTTGAATGGTGGTTTTTAAACAGTAGAACTTAAAAACTGAGAAGTATTCTCCTCTTGAGAATCCAAGATTTGTTTACTGCTTTTTATGTTTTTCCTCTTCCACCTTCAAGATCTAGTGTTCGCCATTGATTCAGATTAATTGTATTTCATTTGTATCTGCTTTCTTTTACAAAGCTTTAACTTCTGAGGTTAAATAGCGTCTTACTTAGCAGTTGCACACTGTTGCTGTGTATTTTGCATTATACTTATCAAATAGTTTTGTAGAGTGAAATGTCTTGGACCCGGCAGAACTGTTACATCGTATTACTTTACTATTAACATGTAAGTACAGACCAATTAATGCTGCATTGCATTTGCTGTTCCCCTTGAGAATTTTGGGGTAAGATTATAATGACACATATGTAGTAACTTTAGCAAAACATGAATGCTGAATTTCACATTTGGGTTGCTGTGTATCTCATAATCTTAAGAGCTGCTAGTTCAGAGCTTAGGTTCTGTCAGTCTTGTCCCATTTTGTGTTCGTTTGGCTGGTCATGTTTTCTTCAGTGAGAACAGTCAGGGCTGGGTGACATTAAATCCA